ATACAACAATAATTTTATTTTTGATGATGGTTACGGGTCGGTTGTTAACGTTAAGGGTTGATTATTAAGGTTATGGGTCGGTTCTTAAGGTTACGGGTCGGTTGTTAAGGTTATAGGTCGGTTGTTAAAGTTACGGGTCGGTTGTTAATGTTATGGGTCGGTTGTTAACGTTACGGGTTGGTTGTGAACCTCGATAACTTGAGATTAAAATAGTGTATGTAAATTTATATATTTTTGTTATTTCATGGTAATAAATTTGTTGTTAAGCTTATGAGTTGGTGGTGAAGAGAGGTTACATATTGGTTTTGAAGGTTACGGGTTGGTTGTGAATGATACACATTGGTTGTGAAGGTGTTACGAGTTGGTTGTTAAGGTTACAGGTCGGTTGTTAAGGTTAGAGTCGGTTGTTAAGGTTATCTGTTGTGAAAGTTACGCGTTGGTTGTTAAGGTTACGGGTTAGTTGTTAAGGTTACGGGTTGGTTGTTAAGGTTAATGGTCGGTTGTTAAGGTTATGAGTTAGTTGTTAAGGTTACGGGTCAGTTGTTAAGGTTACGAAGGTTACTGAGGTTCACAACCAACCCATAATCTTAACAATCGACCCGTAACCTTAACAACTGACCCATAACCTTAACAACCAACCCATAACCTTAACAACCGACCTGTAACCTTAACAACCAAACTGTAACACCTTCACAATCAATGCGTATCCTTCACAACCAACGTGTAATCTTCAAAATCGACATGTAACCTTCATTCACCACCAACTCATAAGCTTAACAACAAACTTATTACCGTGAAATAACAATGATATATAAATTTACATACTCTATTTTAATCTCAAGTTATCAATTTCCTTACAAGTATTCCACTGATGAACGAACGCCGTTTTCTTCCCACCGATGAAACTTTCCTGCTGTTTCCTTATAAGTATTCCGCCAAAAAATTCTAGTTTCCCCAAGACTTTTTCTTCGCCTTGTGAACAAACGCCGGAAAATTATTAGTTACTGCTGATGTTGACGCCGTTGGAAAATTTTGGAGGGAACTAGAATTTTCTCCCCCCCCCCAAGACCCATTTTAAATCATCACAGTAACATCATGAAAGAGAGAGAGAAAGAGAGAGAGAGAGAGAGAGAGAGAGAGAGAGAGAGAGAAGGTATTATGGTCTTCACATGTTTTAAACTCTTGGGTTTTGTGTTTTGGGGGCTCAGGGAATTGTGAGTTTGCTTTTGGGGGTTTTGGGAGCTTTGAAAAAAGTCTTGGGAGAGGTTGGAACACTTGTAATGAAATTGGAGGATAGAAGCAATTTCCTCTTTCTTTAAATGATTGTAGTAGTTATGTTTTCTATCATACTTTTCCTTGAGGTTCCCAATATATTTGTCCTCCACCAGACCAATATTTTACGACAATGCTACACTATAAAAGGGTTTTCATTTCGATATTAGCCCCTCAACTCTTGCATATTTTGAAATTAGTTTCTTAAATCATGGAAATTGCTATTAGGTTCCTCAATTCTTAGATTATTTTTAAATTAGTCCCTCGAATCATTAAAATTAGTCTAGACCCACAAGTCTTAACTTATTTTGAAATTAGCCCCTCCAATCAAGAATATAAATGACAAATAGAGAAATTAAATTAAAACAAGATAATCCAAAATAATACATTTTACGTGTGTAATCCCTTCCCTCATTATTTCAATTCTTAATAGGAGGGACTAATTTCAAAATGTGATTGTACCTCTATAGTCTCAGTCCCTCCAACAAAGAAACCAAGCGAGGACACTGTTAATAACTTTACTGCTACCGCCTGCACATGTAGTAGGCCTGTCCAAACGACCCGACCCAGCCTGGAAAACTGGGGCTCGGACCGGACCCGGTTGGCTCGGGCCCAGGCCGACATAATTTTTTAATTTTTTTTATTTTTTATTTTCAAGAATACATAGCAAAAAATTAAACAAAACTTTGATAAAAACAATCATATTATTAATCACTTGTAATTATATAATTTACAAATACAAAAATCATAAAAATTAAAATGATAAAAATAACTTATTTATTAATAATCAGTTAATCATATGAAAACCATAATTTAACAATTAACTAAAAATCTCTACATATGAAAAACCATAATTTAACAATTAACTAAAAATCTCTACTTATGAAAATGACCGGGCCATCCAGGTCATTTTCATTTTTTTATGGTAAAAAATTGCTAAAAATTAGATTATTCTTATTATATTTATATAAGTATATATTAGTATATACTTATAAATTTTTATATATATATATATATATATATATATATATATATATATATATATAATATATATATATATATATATAATATATATATTATATAATATAATATAATACTATATATATAATATATATACTATATATAATATATATAATATATATACATATATATATTATTATGCTAAATATATTGTACCGTACTTCATAAGTGTAGTGAATTGAGAGAGAGAGAATTCACATAAGTTATATCATTACTTATTTAGAATATGCTATTATATATTATATATGTTATTTGACATACTGTACAATACTTTTTTAAGTACAGTTATACAACTTACTATATGATAACTCTTTTATATACATAGAGCTAATAATCTTAATTATTAACTTACTGCACTTATCTAACTATACTTTATATAACTGTTAATCTATTAATAACAATAAACATATACTCATAACTAATATTTTATCCCTTTTAATTGTTATATCTTATGTATTATATACCATGCCTAAGAGAGCAGAGATGCTATGTTGCGCGTACACACACACACACCTATTATATATATATATATATAATATCATTATATATTATTAGTATATTGACCTATTATATAATATTATTATTTTAACTAATATTTATGAGAAAAAGGGAGATGGCTTTTAGCAGCGTAGGAATTTCCTCGAGCAAGTGTATATCAATGTGAAGCTCCTTTCTTATAAAGTCAATCGTGTTGGGGCCTATAGTAATGCTTAATCGCTAATTGCAGTGTAGGATAATTTACCTCGCATAGTAATTTATATGGATTTTCTCTCTCTCCTTCTCCTTTCATATTAATATATAATAATATATATTAATATATATATCATAATATATAGTCTTATAGCTATATATTAAATAATATATATTACTGGCCGAGCCGGTTATCAATAGGCGCCGTGTTAGGCCTGGGAGCCGGGTTTAGTCCCGTTGTTTTGGGCCTGCCCGGCAGGGTTGGGTACAGGACAGGTTCCGGCTGTCCAGGCCGGGCACCGGGCCGGGCCCGGGCCTTGGACTCGAATGGACAGCCTTATGCACAGGGACAAGTATATATTCACAATTAAGCCCTGCTTTCTTTCTTTCTCTAATATTCTTAGTCCTTCTCAGAAGAATTAATTCCTCCCGTTTTCGTTCTCTACAGAGACAAGTACATGGATGATTTCTTGCTAGAGAGGGCTCTAGAGGGTTCTGTACCTTGGAGCTGTGCCTGCAGTCGGTATTTGCAGAGGGAGGGAGGGGGAAGGAATCTTGGGCTTGCTTCAGGCCCACTGATGAAGCAAGCCCAACCCCTCCCTCTCTAAACTTGGTATCATCTTCTTCCTTCTTCCTTTTACTCTTCTAATATTGTCATTATTATTATTCTTCCCATTGCGAACTCCTTCCAAAAATGACAAGCATGCACAGCTTATTCGAGTTCCGGCTCAGCCTCCTCCTCCTCCTCTTCGCTTTTTTCAACGGTATGAGCTTTTAGTATGCCATGAAGTTTGTTCGGTTTCTTGCGTTGCTCTTAATAATTAGATATGTCCCTTAGCTTTAATAAGATTATGCTTGGTGATCATAATTAGGATTATGAGATGTCTTATGAGCCCATGTTGACATACGTTGATTATGTTCTGGAAGAAACTATATATATCAAGATAAACTTTTAGGTGGCTTATTGGTTGTAAGTTTTGCATTTTTGCCCCACTTTTGAGGTAACCTTTTATGTCTTCTATCTTTACAGATTGTGATGTTTATTGTTCTACTTCTTTTCTATGTAACGTTTTATACGTAGAACAATAAAGAAAAAAGAACCATCCTGAAACCTGTTCTCTTCAAGGAAATGGGGAAGAAATACTTCCATGTTCATTAGTTTTGTTTCAAGCCCATTTCCATGAAAATTGCCTGGCATTTCTTTTTTATGTCAAATTTGCATAAAATTTCTGTAGCTTACACTCGACCCGTTTTTAACTCCTATGCAGGACTTTTGGGAGTCGAAGCGTTCACTGGAACTTATGGCGTAAACTACGGAAGGATTGCCGACAACATCCCCTCACCTGAAGCCGTCGTGACCCTCCTAAAAGCAGCCAAGATCAAGAACGTCAAGATTTTCGATGCAGACCAAAAAGTCCTCGAAGCATTCAAAGGATCAGGACTTGAGCTCATCGTGATGGTCCCTAACGAACTGTTAAAAGACATGAGCGCCAATGAGGATCAAGCCATGCAATGGATCAAAAGCAATGTGCAGCCATTCCTGCCTGAAACAAAAGTACGAGGAATTGCTGTAGGAAATGAAATCTTAGGAGGAGCCGATCCAGGGTTATCTGAAGCTCTATTCGGAGCGATAAAGAGCGTGTACAATTCTTTAGACAGGCTCGGATTGGCGAACAGTATTGAGGTCTCAACGCCTCATTCTGAGGCTGTTTTCGCTAATTCTTACCCTCCGTCTTCGTGCACGTTCAAAGAGGATGTTTTTGTGTTCATGAAGCCTATTCTTGATTTCTTTTCACAGATAGGCACGCCTTTCTATATCAATGCATATCCTTTCCTAGCTTATAAATCTGATCCTGAGCACATTGATATCAATTACGCGCTTTTTAAGCCGAACCCTGGTATTTATGATGAGAAGACCAATCTACACTATGACAATATGTTTGATGCTCAGATCGACGCTGCTTATGCAGCGTTAGATGCCGCTGGATATGATAAAATGGAAGTTAGGGTTTCGGAGACGGGTTGGGCTTCAAGCGGGGACGAAGGTGAAGCGGGGGCCACAGTTCAGAACGCGAGGACGTATAATTTTAATCTGAGAAAGAGGCTTTTAAAGAAGAAAGGAACACCATTGAGACCGAAGATTCCTGTGAGGGCCTACGTGTTTGCATTGTTTAACGAGGATTTGAAGCCTGGGCCGACGTCGGAGAGGCATTTTGGATTGTTTAAAGCTGATGGCAGTATTGCTTATAATATTGGGTTTACAGGTTTGAAGTCTTCAGGTTCAAGTTCATCTTACTTGTCTCTCAAGGTATGCTGAAATCTTCCTTTTCTTGCTTAGGGACTAAATCTTGCCTATGTAGACACAAAATTTATCAGAAAAGATGTTTTGGAGGACAAGAACTCATTTTCCCTAGAACTTAAAAAGATCTAGTACATGTTTGGATTCTTGCATTCCTAGAGTGTATACACCTACACTTAATTCGCCAATCCTTAACTTTCCCTTGAGAATATGTTTCATATTTTACTTCTACAAGCTAGTAGAAGCAACTGTTCATTCAGAAGATGTTATTATCTGCAATCCGGTAAAACTTATGAAAGCCTTGAATTGTTGTCTCAGGATGGGTTTAACAGTATCTGGAACTTCTTGAAACCTAATATCATAAAAAGTTGCAATCAGAGAAACAACCAAACCCTGAAACCCTTGCGACATACTGGTTTCAGGGTTCGATCTTAGATGTTAATTTTAGCAGAAGACCTCTGAGTTTAACAGTAATTTATCCACTTTCGTCACCGTGATATGTTTTACCTCAAGAAGTTATGTCTGTTTCAATACGTACAGATTAGCCTTTTAGCTGACTCTTATGGCTTTGGGGTTATAATTGCAGGGCATTCAAAGTCGAGGTTGGCATTCATACACTGCAGCTCTTGTTGCTTGTTCATCTGTCCTCCTCCTCGTGTTCATATAACTCGACTAAAGTTGGGAACTCCGGCTGTCTGAATTTCTCGTTCCCCCTCAAATAAAGACAAGTTGGAAGTCAATAGCATCATGTCTCCGTAGATTAAATCTTTAGTGGTGCTTATTGTTGATTCATTGTACTCGGGGTTATTCATGACTGGAACATGCTGATCATTTTAGTTTTCAGCAGTGCATTCCAGTAATTTCAGATACTCACAAACACAAGATTTTACATTTCCTGTTTGAGCTAAATTGTAACTGTACATATGTAAAACAATGTATATACCAGAAATCATATGACCAATTCATTTCAGAAATTAGATTCTAGAAGGGTCCCACTAGCATATATTGACATTATTATGCTTTATCATTTGTAAGTTATATTCTGTCAGAGTATAAAACTATATGATTCTGCCACTACACCAAAACTCCGAATGTATGGTGAGGGTAGAGGGTTATAGTTTTACACTCATAAAATTTATGGGCCAAAACCTGGTCTGACACATGTAAAGTTTTTTTAAATGCGCTTAAAATTCTCGGTTGGTCGAAATTGAACATGAGTCGCTCTGATAACGTGTCAAAGGACATTGCCACTACAACACAACTTCGGAGTTGTGGTGAGGGTTGAAAGTTATAGTTTCATACTCAACATATGATGCACATATCCTTCTTCCATCGAGTACCTCAATATGTGTATATATCTTGATATCATTATTATTATTATTTAGATAAAGAGTAAGGTTAGACTCCTATGTTTCTCTCTGAATTTCAATGGAAGCATCCTCAAAGAGTTGAAAACGAATGATGACCACAACCACATTATCTCATTAAAATATTTGTTTCATCAAGAATAAGTAAGGCAAAAAAATTGAACAGGAAGAATCATTGAATAAGCTACAACACAGGCAAAAAAATTGAACAGGAATAATCATTGAATAAGCTACAACACAGGATATCGCATAGAGATGGTTAATGCTCTAGAATCTTAAAGTACCCGTTTTTGACTACTCTTGCCAAAATTGCAGCCGCTATAACCATCATCTGGTTAGTCTGGCATCAAAGAAACCAGAAATTTTTTCTTCCAAGCACGGTAACGCAAAACTTCATCACTCATCGGATGGTGGTTTTCCCCTCTTCCTTTTACCTTGTTCTGTTATCAACCCTCTCTATAATTTTAACATTCTGTAATATCTTTCTTGCCTTGTAATTGTACTTTTTATTCATCTTTTAGGCCTCATTAGCCCCAATAAAACTCTTGCCTTGAAATTGTACTCAACTGGATCTTTTGCATTGTTCTCATTGGCCATTAAAGGACATCCTCTGCGTGCTAGCTTTCGAAGGCAACCTCACATCGGTAGCTAAGCCAAGCGTTTCGAGCAGTTTCACAACATACCAAGTCATATCCACTTCCCACCACTCTAAGCCGTGGCGGGCTGAGTACTCAAATGCATGATGGTTGTTATGCCACCCCTCTCCAAATGCCAATAAAGCCACCCACCTATTTTGCACAAAGTCAAATTGATCAATACACGTTTATGCACATAAAAATTCCTTCGCCGTCAAGTTTCATCAGAAAAATACCAGTTGTTCCTCGACAAATCATTAGTGTTCCATGACTGGTAGCCCCAAACATGGCATGCCGAGTTGACTAGCCATGTAATGTGGTATACCCACACAATCCTCACACCCTGAATCCGCAAATAACAACTTCATTCATGAATCTAAAATTAATAATATCGAGCAATAAGCAATTGATTTTCTTCTCTATTACTTACCATGCCCCAAACAAGATAAGGGAAGCCTCCTACTGCATAGAGCAAGATAGCCAATGCTATCGGGTGTGCGACGTAAGTACGCTGAAGGAATCTATAGAATGGCTGCTTTGCTATCTAAGCCGTGGCGGGCTGAGTACTCAAATGCATGATGGTTGTTATGCCACCCCTCTCCAAATGCCAATAAAGCCACCCACCTATTTTGCACAAAGTCAAATTGATCAATACACGTTTATGCACATAAAAATTCCTTCGCCGTCAAGTTTCATCAGAAAAATACCAGTTGTTCCTCGACAAATCATTAGTGTTCCATGACTGGTAGCCCCAAACATGGCATGCCGAGTTGACTAGCCATGTAATGTGGTATACCCACACAATCCTCACACCCTGAATCCGCAAATAACAACTTCATTCATGAATCTAAAATTAATAATATCGAGCAATAAGCAATTGATTTTCTTCTCTATTACTTACCATGCCCCAAACAAGATAAGGGAAGCCTCCTACTGCATAGAGCAAGATAGCCAATGCTATCGGGTGTGCGACGTAAGTACGCTGAAGGAATCTATAGAATGGCTGCTTTGCTAAATCTCCAACATTATCGGTTCCCCCACACTATAGAAGACACAATATGAACAATATAAACAATAATCTTTTTTTGGGTTCATCACAGATAGACCCCCTTGTACTATTGGTAAATTTGAACTTAATATCCCTGTAGTTCTATTGTTATAGATAGATTGCATGAAAGAGTCCAATTGTTGCACCCCCTAGAGTGAAAATATATTGCCGCAGATAGACCCCTGAAAAGGGTCAAAAAAAATTCACTCAGGCGGTCAACCTGCAACAATAGAGCTACAAGGTAGTAAGTTCAATTTGGCCAGAGTACGGGAGGTCTATCCCCAATTAACCCTTTTTCATTAAATTATTTGAAAAACAATTGTAAATTGCTTACCCTTTGAACGAGAGAATCAGCGTCAAAGAACCAATTCATGTGACTAAACCAGAAACCGTCGACGGGGCTGTGTGGGTCCCGGTCAGTGTCGCAGTACTGGTGGTGGTATCTATGTGTGCTGACCCAATCCATTGGGGTGCCCTGCAGTGCTTGCGCACCGAAGTAAGCAAACATGTATTCTAGCCATTTTGGCAACTTGAAACTCTTATGGCTTAGATTTCTGTGGTATGATAGTGTGATGCCGAAGAGTCCAGTAATGGCGTAGAGCGATACTGCAGTCCACAGAGCTCGCCAGCTGAATGTCCACGGCGCGAACAGGCAGATCACATGCATTGCCAGGACGAGCCCGGCTGCTGTTAAGTCTTGCAAGCTCCATTTTGTGATTCTCTTGTGCTGCTTCTTGACCTGAACATCTGACCACAGAATTGTCGTTGCAGTCTCAGACAATGAGCAGCAGCGAACTTCTGCTCTTCTGGCTACGGCATTGAGAGAAGGGTAATCTTTTTGATGTTGGGCGCCAAAAATTAAATGCAATGAAATCGGAATTAGACGATGGTGAGGATGGAGGAGTTGCTTTGGAGGTGCAGGGTTTAGGTTGAAATTGAGTGTTGCAATGAGAGCCATGCTCGATTCTTGATTTTTTGTAGTTATCTTGTGTACTTGTTATATATATGAAGGTATATAGATAAGGGGTATCCGTAGTGATGCTCTTCTGACCACTCTATCAATGTCGTGGGGCCACTGAGAGAATATCAGAGATGAATCACACTTTGTTGTGAGAATCAGAGGGCTAAAAGTTAGCAGCTTCTTAGTCCAAAAATCTTCAATTGCTTTGGCCAAACCTGGATAAGGCGAATCCAAGTTGATACTCTCCTGACCATAAAATTTTTCTATAATTTTTTTTCTCCTTTTTTGTCTTTTTATCTAGGAAGAAAAAAGAAAATAGGATGTAGGAGTGAAAAGATCTTTGGCTTGCTCATTGTCTACTTCTGTTCTCTGCCAGATATTTTCATTGTGTGTGTGTGTGTAAAGTCTTGATAAAAACTTGGAGAGACTGGGAGATTTTCCAATTTTGAGGAGAATTCAGGTGTAATCCTTGCTCATGGCTTCAACTTCCGCCTTCCTTGTATCGCCCCCACTGAGCTCTCGGCCCAATGATCTAGTCGTTTGCTGTGTGTCCCCAGCTTGTGGAATCATCCAATCCGGTAAAAACCTGCAATATTCAATATATATATATATACACACACACACTTTGGAATAAACGGAAAAAATGATTTATCATACAAAAGAAGAAAATATAAATTCTAAGCATTCAATTCTTCGATTGCCATACTTAAGACACTCCATGCATCACAGACTTATTGCTCTAGCTCTAAAAAACCGAAATATTTGTTTTCCTCTTTCCGATTTAATACAGAAGATAATATACATCACTCTGGTTCGCAAGCAGCAAAATGATTCTGGAGTTTTGTCTACCTAGAAATCATAAGCTTGAGCCATCTCTGTTTTCTAGTTCTTGTCAAGCTGGGGAAATTTTGATTTGTATGTCCTATTTCTTATAAATGGATTAACAGGTTTCTTTACTTTGGCAGGTATTAATATCAGCAGGTCTTACTTGCGATATCGTCCAAAGCGAAGGTACTTCAGGACAGTTTCTCAAGCTAGTACAGTGGCGGTGCCTCCTGTGGAGGAAACTAGAGAGTAAGCGTTGTTATAACAAAGTAAAATCTTTTCAATTTGTTTATTCTTATTCTTGTTCAGTTATGCGACTTATTTAGATCAAAACTTCCTTGGTGCAATACAATCATTCGTCGGTTTTTAGATATCAGTAGGAGCCACTACTCTTAACTCAAACTAGAGATTTGAGAAAAGAAACATGATGAATGACTATCTAATTCTTTTGGTACTTCTTGAATTTGAGAATTACTATCGACGCATCTAGTGAAGTTATCTCAGGAACAATAGTTTAGACGTAACCTCGTCAAACAAATAATTGTCATACACTGGCTGCAAATTCATAGAACATTAAGAAGTGCTTTCATTTCTAGAGAAAATGTCCTTTTAAGCACTGGATGGATACTCAAATTAGTACCTAAACACTACATAGTGTAAAGATAAAGATGGTCATTCTTATTTTATCAAAGTTAGCATATACCAGAAGTCAGATACCACTAAGAGGGTAGTTGATTCTTTTTTTCCCCATCTTGTGATAAATGCTTTGAGCAGACTTCCCAGCTTCGATTCCTATGCATTTCAATAATAAGGTCATACCCCAGAATTTGCGAGGGTCACAAACAATTATGAAATACACGTAGTCCACGAACTCCAAGTAAAATTAAGCCTTGTACATAAGCTAAAACCTGTTATGTTCCACAAAACATGATCTTCTACCAATGCCTTACACCAAATTGCAATGTTGTTTCTAGTCGAAAGATGGCAGCAAACTGTATGCTGGATCAATGGCATTGTTCATGACGCGGACACAAAGGTCTTTTTATGATGGATCAATGAACTCATGGTTCGTAGATAATACCAGTACCCTGTCCCTCTTTATTATCTACAAAGACAAGGTATTAGAATTCTGCATAGGACGCCAAGACCCCTTATTCTTTGTGTTGGATATTTTTAAAGAAAAGGCAATTTTGCCTTAATGAATTCTAATAAATTTTTGTAATTAAAATATGCAATTAAAATATGTTTTAATGTGTTTTAATTTGTAATTAAAATGGGCATAATGACTATACATTATGACGAACGTTACGAAATTTATTGAGGGATTTTGTAACGGCTCTTTTCAACCCCTATATAAACAACATATGTTGAGCTCAAGAAAGATGAAGAAAAATGTGGAAATCTTATCTTGTTTTCTTTTCTCCTCTACATATCATTTTCATCTATACTTTAGTTTTACTTTATGGGCAACTTCTTCATCTGAGCTGAAGCTCTGCACTCTCGCCCGAGTGCAGAGGCCGGGCCGTTTCCGGGGGTTTTTACCGCTAGGGGAGAAGGGATCATCTGCGCCAGGGCGATAGGCGGGTCCTCAATCTTCTAGGGCAGTGTTTACACGACTGCTCCCGTCAGGCCTGTTTCTCTAATTTATATTATCTATCTTTGATGTATTATTTATTTAATTTCCGGGTTTAAATTCATGCTATAATCTTTATTTATTTGATAAATTTCCAACAATCTAGAAGATTGAGAAGTTTATAGCTTTGATTTAAATCTGAAATTATTTTAAAGTTACTGTTCATTCGTGATGGTTACTGTTCATCCGAATTAAAAAAAAAACAAAAAGAAATTTCCTACTAAATTGCTTATCTATTAATTAACTTTTTGTTAAAAAAAATAAATAAATAGTTTTTGTTACTGTTTTTAAAAAAAAAACAGAGGAAATTTTATAGTTGTTGTTAACACAAAGAAAATATAATTGCTTTAATTATATATTTGTTTATCTATTAGTATTATTGATTTGATGTTATAAAATTGGAAAAAAAATGTAACTGTTACTGTTCATTCCAAAAAATAAAAACTTTTAATGTTCATTTATTAAAAACGGTACTGTTCATTTTATTAAAAAATGTTACTGTTCATTTAAACAATTTTGGTTCATAATGCTGAAAAAACTTCTAAAGTTAGAGCAAGTATCAGATTGCAAGTTACGAATATCAAAGAACCTTTATTGGTTTCTAAAAGCCTAGTTTATATTTGTTAGAATCATCTAAAACCTACTCTTATCCCCTTGTGCTAGTTAATATGCACGCATTTGAAACATGCTATAAATTTGTAGCAATGCACATTTTTATTCTTGAAAATTTCATAGCATGGTTTTGACAAAAATAAAGAAAACAAAATAGATGCTTTGAAATATCTGGATTTGTTCATGGTTTAATACTTTTATTTCTTTAAGCTATCAATAATATGATGCCTTCTATTAATAATTTCATACATTAGTGTATTTATGCATCTAATAAGCTTAGTACAGAAGGTGGTAAAAGTGAATGCAAATTTGTTCAGCAACTTCTGTGGCAGTTGTCTGCAGCAGATGAGTTTTTACTCTCAAGACATGAAAATCATGAGGTTCGAACATCAATAGGTAAACCCCTCCTTGGTTTTATCCAACATATGTTTGCAGTATAATTGCTAGGCAATTTAAATGATTGCAGGAAATAATTTAAAGTTTCTATATACTGTTAAGGAACAAAAACTCATTGAGTGAACCGATTCAAGTTTTCTTGGATTAGTTGGTGTCTAAGGCAAGGTTTAAGGGTTACGTAATGCGCTCTGCAAGGAACAAGGTACTTAATTGATCTTTGATTAACCTCTATTACTATCCTTACCTGGCTAACTACCCGGGTAAAACTTTAATCTTTTCACTTTAGGAGTTTTTGGTTTGGAATAAGAGGACCGGAATTATGTGAAAATTCATATGCATTTATTTAATTACGCTTCTTGCATCATATATTGCCTAATGATAAATGATCAATATATGAGCGAACCAAATCAAAGAGGTGCATTTTTAAAATTCTATTTTATATGGTGGATTATATTTCAAATCTTCAAATGTAAAGTTCATCACTTTTATTGCACTTTGATGAATATTGTAATAAATGTTCATATGTCTTTTTAGATAACTTGCATTTGTTACATGATTAATTATAAGGTTTTATGCAAGAATGCACTTGTAAAATTTAAAGCACGTATGTACAAATATTATTATTATTATTATTTGTATAAGAGGTGGTACTAGAAAATGGCAACATAAATTTGGAAGGTCTCCTTTGTAGACAACCAATTTAAATTTGGAAGGTCTCATTTGTAGGCAACCGATTTAAATTTGGACGGTCTCCTTTGTAGGCAACCAATTTGTAACCTCTTATAATAGAAGAATTTTAAAAATTTTATGCATTTGAATTATGAAGTATGAAATACATTTTAAGATACGAAAATATTTTTTTAAGATACGAAATCCTATTATGCTCTGCATGTATCTATTATTAATTTCATTCATGTATGTGCATATGCATAACTGCAGAATTTTTAGTTCCGCATTAGTTTGAAATGTTCAGATATTAAGGTCAATCTCTTCAGACATAGACTATGATCTTTTATGATCATAGATCATGACCTAATGTCAATTTCAAACAATATGATGGACTGATTACAAAATAAGAACTTAATAAATAAATACAACGCCTGCTAGGCAAAGTTATGATTCTAGACTTTGTAAAGTCTGTGAAAAGAATCTTGATGACCCTTTGACTAAGGGATTATCCAGGAGTGTGATCCTGGATTCATCGAGGGAGATGGGGTTAAGCCCATAGATGAGGTCACTGACAGCGGCAACCCAACCCTTATTTGGAGATGTAGTCCCAATGTCGGTTCAATGTGGTAGAAACAAGCTGGACAAGTGACTCTCGTGTGGAGCATCGACCTAGATATATTTATATATCATTATGTAGCATTTGCTACTACCCCTTCTCTATGATGACGATGCTCTTATGATACAGCTGGCTAGGCTGAGTTTTACTCTTAATAAGTCCAACGCGTGTATTGTGGGGGGTATTAAATAAACAGCTGTAGTACCCTTTGAGGACTTACCTACGTGAGAGGAACCGTGATGGCCGCGGTTAGGGGGGGCTGGGCTAACCCCTAGAAACTCTCATGAGTCGGTTTTTTGTGAGCATGGCCTTTAACGCTCAACCCGCTTTGCTCAATAGATGAAGCGTATTGTGTGTGTTTTTATCAATACCTGATTCAAGGGGCCTAATTCAAGGCTTAGTCCATTATGTCCCTCAGGTGGCGATGAACTCACTAAGGAAAGGTTCAAAGTCGAAAGCTATCTTTCCCGAATTCACGATACGATAGGTTGCCCAACCTATTTTTATGATTTATTAATTTATTTATTGATTTTTAAGTTTTCAGTCAATATTGCCTTTTGGGGGGGACTGTTGGATATTTTTAAAGAAAAGGCAATTTTGCCTTAATGAATTCTAATAAATTTTTGTAATTAAAATATGCAATTAAAATATGTTTTAATGTGTTTTAATTTGTAATTAAAATGGGCATAATGACTATACATTATGACGAACGTTACGAAATTTATTGAGGGATTTTGTAACGGCTCTTTTCAACCCCTATATAAACAATATATGTTGAGCTCAAGAAAGATGAAGAAAAATGTGGAAATCTTATCTTGTTTTCTTTTCTCCTCTACATATCATTTTCATCTATACTTTAGTTTTACTTTATGGGCAACTTCTTCATCTGAGCTGAAGCTCTGCACTCTCGCCCGAGTGCAGAGGCCGGGCCGTTTCCGGGGGTTTTTACCGCTAGGGGAGAAGGGATCATCTGCGCCAGGGCGATAGGCGGGTCCTCAATCTTCTAGGGCAGTGTTTACACGACTGCTCCCGTCAGGCCTGTTTCTCTAATTTATATTATCTATCTTTGATGTATTATTTATTTAATTTCCGGGTTTAAATTCATGCTATAATCTTTATTTATTTGATAAATTTCCAACACTTTGCTCATGATCTTTCTCCAAAGAAGCCAGACTAACACCCACATGAATAAGTATGTAAGATTTGGTGGTTATTTTACAGCTCTATATAGTTTCTTTAGAAAAGACAAACTTTTTCTTTGTTTACTTTTTCTTTGTTTTTGGTTCTGACATATCAAATTGCTAAATTATACTAGATGTTCTTTACCTACTTGGGCTGAATTCGAACTAGGAAGATCTCCTGTGTACTGGAAAACTATGAACGGTCTCCCTCCAACTTCTGTATGTCACTGATCAACACTTATTGAAGCGATTTCACACTTATCACTATACCTCATATGGTTCCTTTTGGTTTAACTTTACTGTTATCGTGACAGGGAGAAGATCTAACTCTCTTTTACAATCCTGCTGCAACGAAATTAACCCCAAATGATGAGTACGGAGTTGCATTCAACGGTAATCCATCTGAACAATTCTAATCTTCACACATAATATTACTTTTTTCAACTTTTACACTTTATTCCACATTTTTTTGTATATAGGAGGGTTTAATCAACCTATTATGTGTGGTGGTGAACCGAGGGTTATGAGGAAGAAAGATCGAGGAGAAGCTGATCTTCCAATTTATTCGATTAAAATACGAGCTCCTAAACATGGTTTCTATTATTTTGTGCATGTTTCATGAATTTTCTTTTTAGAGACTGATAATACTTTGGCCTGATTAATTTTGTTGGTCTCAAATTTTTGTAGCTGTCAACCTAATATTTTCGTTCACAAATGGAGTTGTCTGGGATGGTCCGTATAAACTGCAATTTCAAATTCCGAAGGCATGGAGGAACAAACCAACTAGCTTCTTCAATGAGGTGAATCATAACTCTGCTCTTATCTTTAGCAACTCATAATATTTAGTATGAGAGAATTTTTGTCATTAGAAGAGAAAATAAAGTCACATAATTTAGCCGTCAATGTGCAATTTTTTTTTTATTTTAACTGAACTACACTTATTTTATTCTCTTCGTTATGATTATAACAAATGTGGGCAATCCTAATTTGGAAAAAGGAAAACTTTAGCTGTCTCATTCAGAAAAATTAACATCTTACTGTACCTTCAGATGCAACAGAAGCTGGGTTTCTGAGTGATTGCTCGATCCACCTGATAGTTTCTCTACATATTAAAAAATGGATGGCATTGTTCTTTGTTGTAAGCAAAGTTCAGTGATGGATCTTACTTTTTCCAGAATTTAGTAACAGGATTTTCCTTCTGTGTGTTAGTACTGCTGTGATTCATACTCATGCCTCCTTAAGGTTTTCAAATAAGATTACTAACATTTCTTATAAAATAATTTTAACTTCACAATATTAGAACGTTTACTGATCTTTGCATAATACGACAGCTGATCAGATTTCTTTTTTCTCTTTTCTAATTTTATGTTTGTGCTCATGCATGTGTGTGAGCTTACTGGGTATAATTCTCGCCTTGATCAGTATCATTATGTGATATTTTCTCAGCTATGACTCTATGCTATTGGACTTATATATGTTGATTTTTCCTTTATAATTCAATAAATTTCACTATACAGAAGAGAATTTACATGTAAGTGTTGAACTCACCGTGTAGGGTTTGGCAGACGAATTGAGCAAAGAAGGTGCTTGCGCTGAAGCAATCTTTCCAGACTCTTATGTGGTCATTGAAAGCTGTGAAATTGAAAATTTGTATTATGAAGGGGTCAGTAGTTCTTGTCTTCATTTTCCACATTCTTTTTGTGAAAGGACTTGAATAAAACAAGAGAAGATTGCAGCTGATAGCAATGCATACTGACCTTTTGCTGATTATGCTGATACAGGGTGATCGCTGCAAGTTGGACCTTGTGCCCGGATGCATGGATCCAGATTCACCAAATTATGATCCCTTCGCCAATGTTGATGATGGCTCTTGCCCATTGGAATCAGACTCGGAGGAGGAATAAAAAGAGAGATACTGTGCAGGTTTTCCAGCTAAAAGTTGGTAGTGAAATTCAAAAGTTCCATACTAAACAAGATATTACTTGTGCAGATGCGCTACCACAGATAATTTGAGTAGGATTGGAGGATTCTCCCTTTGTGTTGTATATAGATATATTACCAGGTGACGTGCAAATTATGCTTTGCTTCTTCGATGAGTTCCCTTGATAAGATACGAGACTGTGATCGCATTTCTAAACAGATAAAAGAAATAATATTGAAGATTTTGTGTCATGCAATACCTGAATTTTCTGAGAAATGGAAAGAAACTGAAATAGCTGGGACATGGAAACTAAGTTAGCTATTGAACTAATAATTACTTTTCTCATTTAAATTGATAACTTCAGTGTACAGAATGGCCTCTATCGAGTTCTTGAAATCATACAATTTTCTCTAGTAATCTCTGTTTCTTCCAGCTTTTTCTCTTTATTTGTCTGCAATGATTTTCAAAGCTGATTCGTGTTATCTGAACCTACTTGTCATTTGTATACACTTCAAGCTGATGACTCTTCGCTTTCTGGAACTCTGAAACGTTCGACAAGTATGTAATTAATACTAAGATCTATGATCATCATTTTTATGTGCATTCAGTTGAATCAAATAGTGTTTGTAAATTCTGAAAGTTATGAAGTCTCAGGGTTATTGAATTGAACATTATGAACACAACACTTCTATTGATCAAACTGAACAAGTTGTTGCAATGTATGTTGGATAATAGTAGATCAGTGCTCTCGCTGATAAAAAATTACAGAGAATGAGCTATGATCAATTTGACATTATTATTAACTAAGCATATATAAATCCACGCACATTTCACTTCTTTGCCCAACAATTTCTAAACCCTAAAACATAGAACAATTTATCTCTAGAATAAATAACTGCCTATCTTCATTCTAACCTCTAAAACTCCGCTCTTTATTTCCATCTTCCAAATTCACACCATCCACCTTCTCTTCTTTACGTTGCTGAATCATATCATAGGTAGCATGAACTCCAACAAACACATAATACACCAGCATAAACACGGTGCATATTGCAAACCTTACATAAGCTTGATACCCAAGCGACCCCATAAGGAACAAGTTCGTTGCGATTGACAGCGACGGCA